TCAGAACACAAGACATCCTGCCTGCAATCTCTTTGGCCTCCCAGCTGGTCTGACTCGCACAAATCTGGCCGTTGCGTTCAGAAGATCAGTTTAAACCTCATGCCAATAGTCATACAGATTTCTTTCCAAAGGGTGTTTTTGGACACTGCCATTTGAGTAGTAAAAAGAAGGAGCCTCTCTAAGGTGCCACAAGTATTCCTGTTCTTTTTTCTAAAGACACAGTATTTTCTATAGGTCTTGCCTTTAGACCTGGTGAAAGGTACTAGAGTGACATGCCTGGGCTTCAATATCCTCAACCCCCAGAAAAGATGCAGCAGCAGTGCAGACTTCCCCAGGGAACCATCTGTTGACTCCCCCCAGTCCCTGTTTCTCCACCATAATGGCAGTTCTGAAGAGGCCCCGCTCATCTATGTCACTGACCCTGTGGGCCAGATCCTCAGCTGGTGTAAATCAGCATTGCTCCATTTACACCCATCGGGCTCTGCTGATTTACCTCAGCTGAGGATCTGGCCCTGCCTCTTAGTCTCTAGCGAGCTATACGTAGGCTGTGTGAGACTCCTACTGCTTGCCTGTTCCTACTTGTTCACGTGGCAAGTGGTCATACATTTTGCGCTCTGTGCAATCAGCTGGGTCCCATCACCCTGACTCAGATGCTGTCAGCTTTCCACCTCCACCACCCAGCTTGTACCCAGGGGCTAGCGCCTTGCCCTAAACCTCACCAAGAACTGACAGAAACTGAGTCCATTTATTATGCTTCATTAACTTCCATGCTTGTGAATCACTTACCTCTTGGTGCTAGTTCTGATGCCCAACTCATGCTGGAGCTACATCGGTTGCCATAAAAATAAATGACATTTACCCTGTAACTGTAATAAAATAATAACACTTAATTCCCTTTATGGGTGCTACTTTGCATTAATCAGAGTAAAGCAAGGACAGCTTATTCAATGGCACCCACTATACCTCCCTCCCAAATCAAAGTGCCCTTTTAATAGAGCCTCTCCAAAGTTTTTCCTTGACACATTATATTTGACAAGGGGACGAAATGGCTTTTTGTCCAAAACAAACATTTGTGCAATACATTTCATTTTGATTGAAATTTTTCAGTTTTTCAATGAAAAACAGAAAAAAACAAATTGGGGGAGTACACATTTTTAATTTTTGTCACAAAATTTAATGTTTTGGTTCAGTTTTTGGTTAAAAATATCCACTGGTTATTGAAAAGTGAATATTTTTACCAAAAACCATTTTTGAAAGCCAAAACATGTGTGGTTTTTATTTAAAATGTTTTTTCCAGTAAATTAATGTTTTCCCCAATTTTCTCTCAAAAATAATTGATACTGACCAGTTTGACTGGTTAACATCATCTCCTTCAGGCGCTGATAAAAAACACAAGGCTACACAAGGCCCTAAACTGACAGCCCTTGAAATTTAAGGAACACAGTTTCTATGCTAGGCTGCACAGTCCACGGTTAAGTGTATATATGGTGAAGCCCACCTCCATTTGGTAAGCCCTATTCCTAGGCCTTCACTTAAAAATATAGAGCCAAACTATTACAATAAATAGCCTCCTATGAGCTTGTATATGCTAATACTCACGCCCACACAAACACTCTCTCTCTCTCTCTCTCTCTCTCTCTGTATTTACTA